GCAATTAAAATGAAATGGAATCCATTATGGAAAATAACACATGGGAATTGGTTGATTTACCTCCCGGTAATAAACTAATTGGTCATAAATGGATTTTCAAGAAGAAACTTAAGGCGGATGGAACCATTGATAAGTTCAAGGCATGTTTAGTAGCCAAAGGTTATCGCCAAAAGGAAGGGTTGGATTATTTGGATACCTATTCTCCAGTTTCTCGCATAACATCAATTATGACGTTAATAGCGATTGCGGCTGTATGCAACTTCGATATACATTAAATGGATGTAAAAACAACATTTTTACATGGAGAACTAGATGAAGAAATATACATGGAACAACCTGAAGGGTTCGTGCTTAAAGGACAAGAAAGCAAAGTGTGCAAATTAGTTAAGTCATTATATGGACTTAAACAAGCACCAAAACAATGGCATGAGAAATTTGATCATACTTTGTTGACACATGGGTTCAAAATAAATGAATCTGATAAATGTGTCTACATTAAGAGTAATGATAAAACTTGTGTTATTGTCTGCTTGTATGTGGATGATATGCTCATAATGGGAAGCAATAAAGAAGTAATAAACAAAACAAAGAAAATGTTGAATTCAAATTTTGACATGAAAGACTTAGGACAAGCTGATGTCATTTTAGGAATTCAAATTAAGAGAAATAGTGAGGGGTATGTCTTTACACAATCCCATTATGCAGAAAAAATATTACGAAAGATTGGTCAATTTGACTGCAAACCTGCTGCAACTCCTTTTGATGTTGGATGCAAGTTGGAGAAAAATAAAGGTAATGCCATATCTCAACTTGAATATTCTCAAGTAATTGGAAGTCTAATGTACTTGATGAATTCAACTAGGCCCGACTTAGCTTATGCAGTAAGTGGGCTTAGTAGATATACAAGTAATCCGGCATAAGAGCATTAGGATGCTTTAGTAAGAGTGTTAAGGTATTTGAAAAATACACTTAACTACGGATTACACTACACAAAGTATCCACCTGTTGTAGAAGGCTTAAGTGATGCCAGTTGGATTTCTGATACTACCGAATCCAAGTCGACAAGTGGATATGTTTTTACCTTGGGAGGTGCATCAATATCTTGGAAATCCTTTAAACAGAAATGTATAGCTCGTTCCACTATGAAGTCCGAGTTTATAGCTTTAGACTTGGCTGGCGAAGAAGCCGAGTGGCTCAAACATTTTCTGGAGGATATTCCAGTGTGGCCAAAGCCTGTAACTGCTATATGTATACAATGTGACAGTATGGCCGCACAATCAAGGGCCAAAAGTCATGTATACAATGGAAAGTTGCGACACCTCAGGCGTCGGAATAATACTCCCAAGAAGTTGCTCTTCAATGAAATAATATTCATTGATTATGTAAAGTCAAAGGAAAATATCGACAAAAGGCCTACCAAGAGAGCAAATATTATTTACATTGAGAGGAATGGGTCTCAAGCCAATTCAATGAATCGAACTAGGTGGAAACCTAACCTAGCTTATTGGAGATCCCATGGTCTAGGTTCAATAGGCCAACCGGTTGAGTTTGATTCAAAAGTTGAACACACGACAATTCACAAGTCTTGTTATGGCGTGCCAAAATGGGAGGGTTAGTATGTCAAGACAAGTCATGGCTTGTCAAGACATGTCATCCCCTCATTCTGCTGACAATTCGTGAGGGTTGTTATGACATGCATTTTTCTAGCACTTTGCTTATTATTTCGGAATAATTTTTTATTTTTTTTAAAAGATTTAGGAAAAAGTAGATCCTGGGGCTTAAAATTAATTTTTTAGAAATTAATACAAAACAGGATGCTAGTCATATATGAACGTGTTCTTACCGGTAAGAACACGTTCATTAATAGAGCTGAAAATTTATACTTGTTCTTACAGGTAAGAACACGTTCATTAGTAGATCTGAAAGTTTACAAGCGTTCTTACTGGTAATAACCTTTGTAAATTTTCAGCTCACTCATGGAACATGTGCTTATCGATAAGCACACTTCATATATAATTGGCTACTATTTTTTAGTAATTTCCAAAAAAAATAATTTAAGACTCTGGGGTCTACTATTTCCTAGATCTTTTTTAACACTTTCAAACATAATGCCTTTGATTATCACATATGATAAACCACTACTATCTTCTTCCACGACTGGATATAGTCCTATCAGGAGTCCAATTTCTAATCTACTTTGAATTGTAATTATGTTATCACTTGTACATTAGTTTTGTCCTCCACGGATTACTATTAGCTTTGTACTGTTATAAATATCAATGATCAGTAGACTCGCTCATTCATTGAGTTAGAGATCACAAACTTTGTTCTATTGTCTTTCAACATATACGTGATTTTTTTACATCCACAGAAACAAAAAGATCAGAGAGATATAATATCAGTCTCTTTTTTAGAAAAAATTCAAACTGAAGATCGTTAATCTATTTCTTAGAAAGAATTCATTTCCTCAATACGTAGGACACCGAATCAGCATCCGGGAAGCCAGAGCTTGTATTCCATGCTCTCTAGTGAACCCAGCAACAAATGTACCAGTTTTGAGCCACGTGAAGATAGGTCAGTTTTGAGCCCCAGTTTTGTTGAAGCTTATTGAGCCTTTCGATCACTGTCAGACCTAGAATAAGTGGATCAGAGTCAACAGCATCCAAGCGAGCAATCGCCGGTGACAGCATGAAAATGTATCAAATTAAGACTCAGAACTATACGAAAATGAAACATAGAAATGAAAAATGCAGAAACTCACAACTTTTTTCTTTTTGACAACGGATATCGTTAATGGGTTAAATTTTAGTTATCAGGATAGGATTGCTTTTCTTCACGGCTGTAAACCGCCATCTGCGAACCTAGTGCAAATTTGAAATGTTTCAAATCAATATACAGCCTTAGTAGAATTCCCCATCGAACAGAGAAATGTCGATAAATATTGGTCAAAATGTCAATAAAAAGTATAAAATGACGAAAACTTGCTATAAAGAGTAAAATGTTAATTAAGGGGTGTATTCAATTGAGATTTTAAGGGATTTTAATTCTTTTAATGAATCTAAGGGGTATTCAATCGGGATTTTAAGTGATTCTATGAAATTCAAGGTGTATTCAATTAATTTTAAGATAGTTTATTAAAATCCTTAGAAAACCTGGTGTATTCAATTAGGATTTTAGAGAAGTTTATAACATTCCAAGTGTGTAAGATCCCACATCACCCAGGGGAGTTATCCTTATATGTATATTCTCATCTCTACCTAGCACGAGGTTTTTTGGGAGTTCACTGGCTTCGGGTTCCATGGGAACTCCGAAGTTAAGTGAGTAGAGCGCAAGAGCACTCTCATGATGGGTGGCCCACTGGGAAGTTCTCATGTGAGTTCTCAGAAACAAAGCCGCAAGGGTGTGGTTGAGGCCCAAAATGGACAATATCGTGTTGTGGTAGTCGAGTGGGCCCAGGATGTGGTGGACCTCGGCCCGAAATGTGACAATTTGGTATCAAAGCCTAACCTCCGGGCCCGAGATGTGACAATTTGGTATCAAAGCCTAACCTTGGCCGTGGTGTGCCGACGAGGACGTCAGGCCCCTAAGGGGGGTGGATTGTAAGATCCCACCACCCAGGGGAGTGATCCTTATATATATTCTCATCTCTACCTAGCACAAGGCCTTTTAAGAGCTCACTGACTTTGGGTTCCATGAGAACTCCGAAGTTAAGCGAGTAGTGCACGAGAGCACTTCCATGATGGGTGATCCACTAGGAAGTTCTCGTCTGAGTTCTCAGAAACAAAACCGTGAGGGCGTGGTCAGGGCACAAAGCGGTCAGAAACAAAATCGTGAGGGCGTAGTCGGGGCACAAAGCGGACAATATCGTGCTACGGTGGTGGAGCGGACCCGGGATGCGGGGCACAAAGCGGACAATATCGTGCTACGGTGGTGGAGCGGACCCAGGATGTGGTGGACCCCGGCCCGGGATGTGACAAAGTGTATTCAATTAGAAATTGATTTTAAAAAATTTGAGAGATTTCGTAGTGTATTTTAAGCATCCACAAATCTCACCTCTCCCTATGAGATTTCAAGGGAATTGAATCAAAATTTTATATGGAATCCCTACAAATCAATTAAACTCCATAAAAATCCAGAGATTTATAAATCCATTAAAATCTCTCAAATTTTCATTAAGCCTAAATTGTTAAAGCAGTCAATAGCATGTATCCTCATCACCAACTCAAACCAAAAAAAAAAAAAAATTATATTCTTAGCTAATTTGTCCAATTCCTATTTACCATCTTTTTCCAAAAAATCACCGTCTTATCTCGAATCAGTTGAATCTGTACTTGTAGAGCACTAATTGATAGTGTATATATATATATATATACAAAGGAATGGACACCTACCGGAGACTCAAATTAGATAAGGTAGACAGACTAGGCTTTCATCATCTGGATCAGGCAATCCAATCCTTCCTGTAGAAAAACCACTGCGCGCCGCTAATCTGATCAGTGTATCTTGAGGTAGCATCAACCTGCTATTCCTTATTTCATATATATATATATATATATATATATTTTTTTTTTTTTTTCGTAGGATACGATCTGTACTTGAGGGTTGTTATTTTGTTGATTTTACCATTTGATGGATATTCTTGATAGAGCTGTTTCCTGAAGAAATTCCTGTGCATAATCTAAAAATTTGTATGGAAGGAGTGCAAGAAATTTGAGAGGATCAATATTTTGATTACAATGAAAGTAATCACATAAAGAGTGCAACAAATTTATATATGGATGTATATGTATGTATATTATACGTATATGCTTTCTAAGAGAGTTTGTATATATATAGAAGGTTGTCCTCCGTTTAAGCTATATATAGTTTCGTATTATACCATTTCGGTCTTTTTGGACAGGATGCTAGCTCCACAGTTTTTGCTTTCTGTCCCATCTCTCATTAGTTTATTATGTACACTTATGAAGGTTTACATATATAACAGGCACTCGATCGGTTATCAGAAGGCGATGGCAGTTTTGCAATGGATTGCGCTCATTCTGTCGTTTCTAGCAGCGATTCAAGGTGTTGTGGATGGTTATTCGGTTGACATTGGTGTTAACTATGGATTGTTAGGGGATGACCTACCTAAACCTAGAGAAGTGGTTAACCTCTTCAAGGCGTATGGTATTGGCAAGGTAAGGCTGTTCAATCCTGATCCAGATGTACTCTGGGCACTGAGGGGGCAAAACATTGATGTCATGGTAGGCGTTCCTAATGAAAACTTAAAAGCTTTGGCAGAAAGCCAAGGTGCTGTGAACAACTGGTTTGATAACAATATAGAGCCCTACCTAAATGACGTTAACATCTACTTCATCACCGTTGGCAACGAGGTTATTCCCGGTCCCTTAGGAAACTACGTTTGGCAAGTAATGCAGTATCTACAAAACATCCTCGACGAAAGGAGCTACCGTGGTATTAAAATCTCCACTGTTATACCAGGGACTGCCTTAAAAACTTCATTTCCACCTTCAAAGGGTGAATTCAACGGACAGTCGAGCGGTGTCATGACTTCCATTTGTGGGTTTTTACTTTTTCGAGGATCGCCACTTATGATTAATGTGTATCCTTACTTTGCCTATGCATCAAACCCTACCAAAGCTCCCTTACAATATGCTCTATTTAATTCATCAACACCCGTACACGACGGGAACTTGAGCTATTACAGCCTGTTTGATGCCACCGTTGATGCTTTTATCTCAGCAATGGAGAGAGTCGGGGGAGCTGGTGTCGAGGTGGGGGTATCGGAGAGTGGCTGGCCTTCTGCCGGGAACGGAATTTTCACTAGTCCGGAGCTTGCTGGTACATATAACCGGAATTTCATGAAACGCGTAACCTCCCTGAAAGGGACACCAAAACGACCTGGTCATTACATCGAAGGCTTTATCTTTGCCCTGTTCAATGAGAATCAGAAACCAGCTGGTGTGGAGCAAAATTTCGGACTGTTTTATCCTACCATGAAACCTGTTTACACTGTATTTTAATGATTCAACATATCAATTTGATATGTAATTAATCTTTCATGTATTCATCAATAAAGTTACACATCTAAGTTTTCTTTTAGTTTTCGACTTAATTTCATCCTGTATTTTATTAAATTGCAACACCATATCGGTTTATTAAATTTCGAAATTTGAACACATACGAAGAATTGGATGGAAATTGGAATGCAAAAAAATGTAAATTTCAACATGGATTCGAGCCATAATAACATGGTTTCATGGAGAACATCACTGGATGTGGATGTTCGAAAATGAATGTTTTTTCCTTATTTTTTAAACAATCAAAGAAAAAGATATATTATTACACTATAAATCAGGGCTTGTTTGGATATGCTTTTAAAATAACTGAAAACGCTTTTATAAAAAATAATGTTTTTGGGTTCCAAAAGCATATAGCTGGTGCTTCTTGCGTAAAGCACTTCAAGTGCTTTTTCATAATTTACTTTCATTTTTATTAAGGATTGGTTCTAAAAGCATTTTCATCAAAAGCACTTTCAATTATTTTAAAAGTACATCCAAACGAGCTCAATTACTTAAGTAATTATCCGCAAAATTAATTCAATAATCTCTCCTTTTATCAGGAATAACTTCCCAAAATTAGTTTTTAGACACACGACATAATTTAATTTAGAAGGGGATAAGGCCACACATGTGTGAGCAAAATGGACTCGCTTAGTCACTTGTTTCCGCAATCATACTAAGAAAGGTGACTTTGAAAGTCAAATAATACAATTAAATGGGTAAAACTAAAGAAGTAAGCAATTAACCAAACAAGGAAACAAAAGTAAAATAAATGAAAATCTGTGACGAGCATGACGAGTGGTGATGGGGATTCAACGAATCAAAGAAACCAAAACAAATACTAAGGTTTCGTGAAAATTTGTGGATTTCTGTTATCCGTTTGTTGTAGCATCTTAGCTAATTTGCGGACTTCCTAATTCACCATTTTTCCCCGAAAATTGTGCTCTTATCTCCAATTAGTTGAATCTGTACTTGTTGCAGAACAGTTAAACACATATATATATATACATAAAGAGAGGAATGGTCACTTTCCACAGACTCCATTTTCATCATCAGCCTTCAGTTGATCCAATCCTTCCGGAAGAAACCACAGCGCGCCGCTAATCTGCTTAGTGTTCCTTGAGGTAGGATGTATCAGCATGCAATTCTTTATTCATACCTTTTTTTTCCTTCGAAAGATACGATCAACTAGCCGTAGTGTAATAGTAGAGTAAAATTTTTAGTTTTGAGGGTATAACTGTTATTCTGTTGATTCTACCATTTGAAATCGTTGATAAAACTTTTCAATGAAGCAACCAATTCATGTATAAATGTATATATACAACCTATAAGTGAGTTTATATATATTTATACTGCTAGCTAGCTCCACAGTTTAGCTTTCTGTTCCGTCTCTCATCAGTTTATTATGTACATTTTATGCATGTATTATATTATAAGGCACTCAGTGATCAGAAAGTGATGGCAGTTTCACAATGGATTGCGTTCATTCTATCATTCCTAGCAACCATGTACAACCACAACATAGAAATTGTGGAAGCTAAGATGACACTTGACATCGGTGTTAACTATGGGACGTTGGGGGATAACCTGCCTTCTCACGAAGATGTGGTTCAGCTCTTCAAAGACAACCATATTAACAAGATGAGGCTGTTCAATCCTAATCCGGAGGTACTTAAAGCGCTGATGGGGCAAGGAATCTCCATAGTGCTAGGCATTCCTAACGAAGACTTAGCCAGTTTGTCGGAAAGTCAAGAAGCTGTGGATCAATGGTTTGCTGTCAATGTACAGCCCTACATAGATGACATTGAATTCAACTACATTGCCGTTGGAAACGAGGTTATACCAGGGGAATTAGGCAGCTTTGTTTGGCAAGTAATGCAGTATCTACAGCACACCATCGACGAATACCACTACCAAAGCCTAAGGGTGACCACTGTTTTGCCAGCGACTGCCTTGGGAGTTTCATATCCACCTTCAGCCGGTCAGTTCAGCGGAGAGGCAGCCGGTATCATGGCTTCCATTTGTCCCTTTTTGAATTATCAAGGGTCGCCCCTTATGATCAACGTGTATCCTTACTTTGCCTATGCGGCAAAAGCTTCCGATATTCCCTTAGACTACGCTCAATTTACGGCAACAAAACCCGGGTTACAAGATGGGAACTTGAGCTATTACAACCTATTTGATGCCACAGTTGATGCTTTTTTCTCAGCAATAGAGAAATCCGGGGGACCTGATGTAGCCGTGGTGGTGTCTGAGAGTGGTTGGCCATCTGCTGGGAACGGAGATTTCACTGATACAGAACTTGCCGGGACGTATGTTAGAAATTTCGTAAGACATATAACCTCCAACGTAGGAACACCGAAAAGACCCGGTGCTTACATAGAAGGCTTCGTCTTTGCAATGTTTAATGAGAATCAGAAACCTAGCGAAGAGGAGCAAAACTTCGGAATATTTTATCCCAACAAGAAACCTGTGTATCCTGTATTTTAAGGATTCAACAAAAACTTGTATATACGCATTAATAAAGTCACATATCCCAGTTTTTCTGTGAGCTTTCTACTCCATTTCATCTTGTATTTTCAAGCTCTTAAGTCTATAAAACATTAACCAATTAGCTTGTTCAGAATTGATCATGTAAGAACAACTTCTGCTAAAAGAGCACGTACAAATTTGTATTAAAAGCCAAAGCAATCCATGCTAAAGCACTTGGAATTGCTTCTTGAAGAAGCACATCACAAAGTGCTTCCATGACCTAGAAGCGCTTTTCAATTTTTGGAAAAAAATAGTCAAAAGAGCAATCTCTCGTACTTTTTAGCCTTGTCAAAAGCAATCATAAACAAAAGCAAAATCATCTCAAAATCATGTAAACAACCACATAACCTTATTATATTATTTGAACCAGATCACTCAATATCCAAATGGTAACCTTAAAATATTTGAACCAGATAATTCGACATCCAAATGGTACAAGTACAATTTCCAAAACATTAAAATCAGAGACGGGAGAGTGGTTCCTCTTTCCCGTTTGATTTGTTCAGAAAAGGGTAGTCAGTGTACCCAACAACAGGATCTTGTGTGTAGAAAGTCTTCCTGTTATACCTGGTCAAGGGTGCATTAAGCTTAAATCTCAGAACCAAATCAGGGTTTGAAATAAAAAGGCGACCGTAGGACACCAAATCAGCATCCCCGGAAGCCACAGCTTGCATTCCAAGCTCTCTAGTGAACCCTCCGCTAGCAAGAAATGTACCGTGATAAGTTTTCCTCAAAGTCCTCATAAACACAGCTTCCTCTTCATCACTACCAGGTTTTCCAGCTTCCGCTTGACCATAGGCTGCGTAGCGAGGCTGAGTCACATGAAGATAGGTCAGTTTTGTGCCCCAGTTTTGTTGGAGCTTATTGAGCCTTTCGATCACTGCCAGACCTAGAATAAGTGGATTAGAGTCAACAGCATCCATGTGATCAATAGCTGGTGACATTCGAACCCCAACTCTATCAGCACCTATTGCTCCAACCACTGCTTGAACAATCTGAATCAAGAATTTGCACCGGTTTTCAAGCGATCCACCATACTCATCTGTTCGATCATTGATCCCGTCTTTCAAGAATTGGTCAATGAGATAGCCATGTGCCCCATGAATCTCAATTCCATCAAAACCTAAACAACATGAAAATGAATCATAATAAGACTCAGAGCTATATGAAAATGAAACATAGAAATGAAAAATGGCCATAGAAACAGACCCGCACGAATGGCATTCAAGGCAGCCTGGCGATATTGCTCAACAACTTGAGGAATTTCATGGGTTTCGAGTGCTCGAGGCTTAGGGTAAAAGCCATAAGAGCCATCCGGCAACAGAATTCTCCACCTCCTTGAAACAGGATTGTTGGTTGACGATATTGGTGCTCCCCCAGCAGGTTGATAAACTAAATCAATTCAAATTAAAAGTAAAAATAATCAGTTCACTGCTCGAAACATTAAACCAAACTCTATTGCAACAATTGATTAAATGTGAAGTTTACCTTCATGAGATGAACGGCCAACGTGCCAGAGTTGACAGAAAATAATGGCGCCTTTGGCATGAACCGCGTCCACCACCTTCTTCCATGCCTCCACTTGTTCGTCGTTGTAAATCCCAGGAACATGCGGAAATCTGCTTCCACATTAACAATTCAGTATCACTGAACTCAGATGCACAACGTGGGGCCCACTTACCAATGCCACCCTATAATTACTAAAAAACCAACGAGAAACAATCGGAAACTACAAAATTACCCGGCTCCAGTGTCGGAGATGATAGTGCCTTCACTGATTAGAAAGCCGCCGGCGGTTGACCTTTGAGCGTAGTACTCGGCCAGTGCCGGCTGCGGCACTCCGTTCAACGCCCGGCACCTCGTCATCGGCGCCAGCACCACCCTGCCAAAAAGGACCAATCCGTCAAAACACCCCCAAACTAAAGAACCAAATGACAAATATCCGCTCCCGAATTTCGGAAGAAATCGGAACCCGCCAAATTTGACCAACTGCGAACTGTCCTAAGAAGGGAGCACCAAACTTGATGCATCGGCGAAGCACTGTATCATCAAAAGGGGAAGGACTGACCTGTGAGAGAGATTGAACTTCCCCATCTTGTACGGAGAAAAGAGAGTGGTGTGCCCTTCCTGCGACGAAGCCTCCGCCATTTCTGCCGATCTCAGATCGTGGGGTTGAAATCTAAGGACGAGCAATGAAGTCAATACAAAGTAGAAGAAAAGGAGGGAGCTTTAAAGCAGGGGCTGCCTGTGATCCGACGGCTATAGACGCGCGCTCCTGAAGCGCTGCCGTTGGGATGACGATGGTGGACTTTTTGGTTGCTGATGCTGCCCCTTGTTAGTGGGTTTTAATGGTGGTGGTGGACCGTCGTCGTTGGCGGGACCCACGACGGAGAGAATCATTGGGCGTTTGCAAATGGCAATGAAATTCACGTGGGAATTAATGTATTTTCAAAGAAATTTTTCAGTGTGATAGGTAATATTCTAATGAAAAATTTCTCATTTCCGGTTTGATTCCGAACTTGGAATGTTACTTGAGACGTGTTTGACCGTCGAGTTGACTGGACTCTGTTACCTGTTTGTGTTGACGATGTTGTGGTCGGAAATGGGCTGGATTTTGATTTGGGTTTGTAATGTGATTGACTTAGGCCCAATTTGTCGATTTGCGTCAATTTTGATCTATAAATAATTGATGACCCTATACTCATGACACGAATAAGGAGTTACATAGTACATGTACATCATTATTATGACATTTTATGCTAATAATATAACTATGTATGAAAGTTTCTTTAAATGCATTGTATCACTGACACAAAATATCACGTTGACAATTAACTCATATTATATAAGTTGCTCATCCAAAAAACAGGCATAGTACACTAGTCACTAACAACAATAAAGGAATGATATTCATCTTTTCCAATCCTAAAACCAAACCATGCTCTACTCTATTTACTTCATCTTTACATGTTAAGTGTTGTTAGTTATGGGATGGAAGATAAGGTATTAAACATTTGAGATTTAATTGATGCATTGCGGTCCAAGTCTTTAGAACGATAGGCGTGTAAGCAATGACTTTCTTCATCAATACTCAATAAAATATCCTTGTCATAGTACAAGAGTAATACAACATTGGTATTTTATCCATTTCGTACATTCATTAGGAGAGATTTTTCAGTGTGTCAGAAACACGTCTTGATACATCAAGTTGTCAACTATTATAACACAAGAGGCTGGAGACTTGAAAGGAAAAAAAATCAACCACGTGTGTTATAACACTTAATCTATTAGACCATTTTTCTAACACACTAAAAATTTTCTCATCAACTAGATACTTCCAATTGTTGCATTGGCAAAAGGTTTGAGACTCGTTTGGTTTGATTTGTCGCACCAATGGCAATGAAAAGACATAAAAATACACCCACAACTCTTCATCGATCTATACACATACATTATGTATCAAAAAAATTATTGTACATATTGAATTGAAGATCTGTACAAATTCAATTGGAAATCAATGTCAATTAAGATGGGGATCCAAGACTTGCACAAAAACATGATAGGAAGATATTATTGAAAATGTCCATGATTACGCATTTACCATTTGTGAAAGGGAAAATGAAAAGAAAGGCCAAATCTATGGATTTTTGGCTAATGAAGAAATATCATTTTCATACTCAACCATACCTTACTACTAAGAGCTATAATTTCATTTTTATGAGCCTTAATCATGGTGGTTTGAGTTTGTCTCGTATACTCAAAACAATCTTATGCCAAAAGTTTTTATGCCAATCTATGTAGAATTGATATAAAGGTTGGAGTTTCTTATTTCCTTCAAATTTGATTGCATGTCATTTCACTTAAGATTTGACATCTTATTTGAAGATGCTATAAGAGTTTTCCCACCTTTCAGCTAACCTATTCTTATTAATCTACTCTTTAACACACATACCGACGTTACCCATCAATTCTATATGTCATTATTTGGCCGCATTGCACAAAAACAAGATGTTTGACATATCATAGATCCTAATTCATTAAACCACATTTTCAAAATCAAAGTACTTTATCGTATTATGAAGAAATCGAACTCTTAACATGTCGTAAAACTAACATCACTCATCTATATTCCTCAAATGCACAAATCCTAATAATTTGCTTTTTTTGCACACCTTTTGTTTTCTCCACTTCTTTGCTAGGGTTTGGTAGGTACACTTATATGATGTTTAAAAGCTTAGAACAGGTAAAATTCATAATTCCCCACCCCACAGTGTCACGCTAGCAATGATGTAGTCATGTTGATCATCCAGTTTGAACTTCGACCCAAGCTTATAACTGACGTGGCATGTGGTCCCCATCCCATACAACATGAGTAGCAAGGGGACAATTTTGTCACCCTAATCATGCCTACACATCCATGCTCAATTTATATTTTTATAAGTTAGAAAAATAAATTTAAAAATATTAAGAAGAAATAAGAAAACCCATCGCGCCACGTGTCCTCCACATCCCTGCAAACGGTATAAGCCTTTACACCTCACCAACCCCCAAAAATGTCTACCGAGGAAATGCGAGATCCGTGCCGTGTGTACCAGACAGAGAAAGCAACGCCGCTAGTAAAGAAAAAAAGATAATATTTTTAAAATGGGAAAGTATTAAATAATTAGGGAAAAGTAGAAAGAAAAAATAAATAAATAGAGGAAGGTGGGTCAATGTGATACAATAATTTTTTTTTTTTAATCAAGCGATAAATTTTGTTGAACTTTTTTGTCAAAATAAAAAATTAATCACTTTACTAAATTAAACAATTGAACTCACTTGCCACTCAATACCATAATATAGTATTGTTATACTATCTACTTGTAAGTCAGAGGATTTTTTCGGTACAGTCGATATTTTCATAGAAATATTCAAAAAATTAGAGAAAGATAAGGAAATGGAGGGTGAAGTCTAAACTTCATCTCATATCGGAAATTTTGTTAAGTCTATGCTTAAATTGACATATACCGTCGATATTTATGACATATCTGTTAAATATTGGATAAACTTTTATATTTTGTTCAAACTAATGTTTGACAATCCTTAAAGTCTCATTTTAAAATTTCTATCATTTCCATCAAAAGCAACCCCATATAGATATTTGATATATCCGTCGATATTTCTATAAATTTACATACATATATTTTAAACACTGGTGAGGGATAAGTTCAAAACTCGTGAATAATAATTTTGATAAAAACATAGTTGTATAAAAATAAATTCACATGTAAGATTGTAAACAACAAGTAGTTTTTCTCTCGACTCATAAGTGAAACGTTTAAATAAATAAGAGAAAAATAGAGCAATAGTTCTTAAATTTTAACTAAATGATAGCTTTAATCCTTGAACTATAATTCCATTAAATTTAGTCCTTGAATTTGGTTGAATGTGGATTAGTGGTCCTTTTATGTTACCTCCGTTAGATCTTAGGTTAGTTTGTTGACTTGATTAATGTGGCTTCACATTTTGTTTTCTTGTATTTGTCATGTAGCTATAAAAAAAATTATGAAAATAAAATAAAATACAGACATTAGGTAATGAGATTTCTATCACTCCCCTCGCCAACCCGTCTCTAAAACAAGTTAAATACTAATTATTAGGCTTTTTAGTTAAAATAGTTCCTGAGATTAGCATAAATCTTTACTTGAATCCATGAAATTTAAAATCAACAGAACTCGTTTCTCAGTTTGTCCACCATAAATTATTTTGGTCATTCAGTGAAAAACCTTCGTCAAATAAGGACAAAATGACAAATTTTCCTTAATTTTTATCAAATATTTGGGCTCATTTGTTTATTAAATTGATGGTATTTTTATCATTTTGCTTCTTATTTAATAGATAGTTTTCACGGAATGATTAAGATGATTGGTGGTGGAGCACTTCTATCGATTTCAAATCTCAATGACGAAAGTGAGAAGTTATGTCAATCTAAAAAACCATTTGACTAAAATGCGTTATTATTATCCTCTAACTATATCTAAAACAAGTTCTATTGCTTAAGAGAAAAATTAAGTATCGCTTACATACAAGAGTTACTTAAATTTATAATATGTTTAAGTCGTCGTATTTAATTTAATAATAATACGTAACAATGTCGAGGACTGACATAGGATGGCCATGCACTCGTTACCGAATAAAAACCCGTAATCCGGAACGAGATAGAGTTTTCACACGGTTACGCGCACAAACACGAAGCAAACAAACAAAAAAAAATTATAAGCAGCCGACCGCCGTTACTGACCGTCCCTCCTTTTTCCTCCTCCATTTTTCGACGCACACGACGCGAGGCCTCCTCTCTCCCTCTCTTCTCTCTCTCTCTCTCTCTCTCTCTGTGTCTTCGTAATTTCTGTTTATTTTGGTCCGAAAATGCAATTAGAACTAATTAATTAATCAAATTAATTAAGCTTAAAGCCGATTATTAGTTTAACACCTTCTTCCTCGTCCTCTCCTCCATCATTTCGTTCGAGGAGAAGAACAAGAAGCAGCAGAAATAGAAGACGAAAGCTTTGTTACGGCCGCCGGAGATTCCTCCCCCTAAAATTCTTATATTCCTTTTCGAATTTCAAGAGAATTCAGAGGTCAGTTCATAATTTTTTTGGATTAATTTGTTGCGTATATTCTATCTTTTGTGATTATAATTTCCAATTATCTATTTTTCGTTAAGTACGGATGATTATTGGTGCCTTAATGCTCGAATTTCATGGTTTTTTTGCTGAAAATCTTCCAATTTTATTCAGCTGGGAAATTCATGTTTACCAAAAATTTGTCAACTTTATTATTCTCTCTCTCTCTCTCTCTCTCTCTCTCTCTCTCTCTCTCTCTCTCGTGTAACTGAAAGGGCTTGGCAGCAGAAAGTTAACTGATCGACTATTAAGACGGAGGAATAACGTTGTAGCATAATTATCTACTTTTAATTCGATTTAGGAACTTCTTTCCAGCTGAAGAATTAAGTTTTTTTTTAATTGTTTAATTTATTGTTAATTTTGGAGATTAATCAACCGGAAAGGTTGAAGTGAACATCAAAGGTTAAAACTTTAACTAGTGACAGCACGAAACTGATCCTTCGGAGAGTTTCTGCTCGGAGACGATCGAATTAGGAAATATCTGTTATTTTTATGCTCTGTAAGGTCGAAGTTTCGGGGTTTAAGGAGTGAATTGTTGTCAATGTCGAATTTTTTGATAGGAAAAAATCCTTTTAGTATGAATAAAGATGAAGAGACGGGTAGCCCCAGTTGGGGTGCTTCGTTTTTCGCGCAAACGGAAGATGTTGCAAGAGCAGTTGCTGCTGTAGCGGCCGCTGCTACTGCCACTCATTCTCCGCGGCCATCTTCTGTGTACTCATTGAATGAAGATGGTGGTGGTGGCAGTCCGCTTCAG